GTTATTTTATTACTTTGACGAAATTTCTGTTCGGAGCATATACTATAAAATGGTTTCGTCAAAAATGACGAAAGTTTCGTGTTATTTGAGTAGCCATTTTTTAAAGTAAAATTTTACTTACATTTGAGAGAGTTTTGTCATAAATTTGCACTTTTACTTAATTTTGATTATCAATTTCATTATTTTAAGTTGTGGGCTCGATAAATATTTTTAAGCACGGTCTCACACTTTCCTTTATTTATGTATTACAGCTTTTATAAATTTTATTCTGATTTGGGTCTATATTTTTGAATTTATTGTCATTTCCCTTGTGGAAGAAGAAAGCCTACCAAACTTTTACCATGAGACTGGATTTCGTTACCCTCAGGTGACAAACTAGGAGTGGGGGACCCAGTGGGACACTTGAATAAAGGAAATATGGATTATTTTCAAAATCTCGAAACTTGTAAGAAAAACTGTTGTTGGTTTCGTTATTCTGCGTCTTAATATTACATGAAAATTTTAAATATTATTTAACAAAATGAAAGTATTTTTTTTTTAATTTTTAATAACTTCTTTTCTCCATTATTTTCTGAACCAATCAAGTACTATTCTCAAAAAATTGGAAATTTATAATGACGGACACTAGGATTACTTTTGCTAGTTTGTAGTGAAATACACAACAAAAATCATTTCTCTTTTTCTGAAACCATTTAAAATTTTATGACATTCTTTGAAATTGTGATAACCCTCCCTATAACTATAATAATCACATGAGTTTGAATCAGAAATATTATTGTGTGTTTGTTGTTTTAATTTTACTTAATACTAGAAGCGCCGTTGGGTTCATTTTCATCATTTTTAGTCATTCCTTTATGTTGTTTTTGAAGATACACTTTAAGCTTCGTTGCTCACATTTTTTTACTTTTTCTAAATTGATTTTAAGTATACTGTATTGAAATTTCATGCCTTTATATTGATAAGTAAAACAAATCATCAACAAAAAAAATACTTGAAGGAGCCAAAAGAAATAATTTTGGCCCTCATAAAAGAATTTAATTTTTGAAGTTTCTCACCTTTTGCAAAACTACAAACTTTGCGCAGATGATTTGTTGAACAGAAATATGAGGGCAACTGAATTAAAAATGTTACGCAATATTCTTCGCTAAATATGGAATCTTAGAATCAATTTCTAAAATAGCTCAGTTAGGCTCTCATTGAATTAAAAATTCATTAATGCATCTAAAATCACGCATACTGTAAAAAAAAATTCAGATCAGATCACGGTCAAAAAGTATCGGTACTCATGGTGCCAATTCTTTTTACGTTAAAGTCCACTTTTATCAAAACATGTTTCATAGGAGAAATCAGATTTTTGGAAAATCACTGAATAATTAAATAAATATTATTCTAAGTACAATATTTTACGGGGGAAATCGATATTTTAGGGTTAAATGGATTTTGTGGCTGCGCATTCAATATGGTAATTTAAACTGTAATTTGGTCCGGAATTTTTTACAATGTACATGCTGATTATAAACCGTTATTTTTGTTATAATACTGAGCAAAAAATATTTTATGAGCAGTTATTGTCATGTTGATCAAAATACAAATTTATTGCATAGAAAACAACCGTATAACATTTATTTCAAGTTTTTTTTTCGTCTAACATAAAATCTAAGAAAATTAATAGCTGTCTTAATTTGTGCAAATTTAAAGAAAACTGCCAACGAAGTTTCGATTTGGGGAAATATAGTGCTCTAAATATGTTACATTAGGAAAAATCAGATATACTAGAAATTCTCGCTGCACAGTGGGACTTACGACATTTTTTTCATCTCTGAAAAGCCCGCAGAGGAAATTTGTACGCGAAAAGAACACCACATTATTGGGATAGTACGTCTGATGAAGAAACGATTCCCTCCAGATCAGCAAATTTTCAGTGTCACTTATCCGACATACACCACGAAATGAAAACAAAAAAAATTCCAAAAAAAAAAATTCTTAATGTTAAAAATTTAAATAGTATTCATGCGAATATGCTCGCAGACAATACAGAGTAGAAGTCATGCTTTGTCATTTACTGCATTGATTGTCACAACTACTAGAATATGGTAACATTGACCGTATTTCTGGCTCTATGAAAAAGCCAAAAAATATTAATACCAGATTATACCAGAATTTGCTTTCTCCTTGTACATTAGTAAGAAATGTGACACAAATTTGGTAAACTAGAAGCTTGGGAATTACTCTTCTAGATGTGAAACTTGCATAAGCGAATATTGAGAGGACTGCTTACGTAAAAAAATTTTGGTTTGGTTATAGATCGGGGGGGTGCACTTATTCTCTCTTTCTCCTTTCAAATGGTTGCAGTGCTCATTTCATGTGTTGGATTTACAAGCTGTTTTATAATTTATTTACGATTTTGTTATCATTTGCTTTTGTTGTTTAAATAGTGCTATGTTACATGTTTTGTTTAATGTTTCGTTACATTTTTTACTGTCTCTCAATAATTTTTTTTCATTTCATTCATTTTTGTTATCTGAGCGCTCCCCTCAAAATGTTTCGTTAAACTTGATTTACTTTAAAAATAACTTCTATTAATAATAAGCTAAAAGCTATCTGAGATGAGATTTTATTAACAAAGATTATAAAAATAACACACAGTAATTAAAGTAAAAATTCGCAAATAATATCGATGTTTAATAAAGCTCATTTGGAACTAAACCTAGCATTTGAAGTGGGATATTAATATTATATCACACTCACCATTCTTATTTGCGTATTTAACCAGTATTTTCTATTTTTCTTAATTTAAAATACATAACTTAAATTATACCTTAAAAACTTTCTTTGAACACATTTCAATGGAAGCTTCTGTAAATAGAAACAAGAATGTATAACGATGAAAGTTCCCATTTTAAAACATGTTGTGTGTGTTAATGTGTATTATTTGTATTTGTATATTTTGCTTATTTTCGCATGATTTGCGCTATTGCTAAATAATAATCTGTATTACAGTGGTACATTATAACGTTATATTGTCACTACAATACTTTAAAAGAGAACGAAAAAAAATTAATCTCTGAAGACTTTTACATATTATATTTTTAACACTAGCCATCAACTAAAATTATAATTTAATTTGGAATGACACCATACACCAATTTATTATAAGAGTCAAATTGACTCCCATTGTTGGTTCTAAGTAAGTCTAAAACCCAGCGGTTCTGGTGTTAATATTTAATCTCCTAAAATGCACAAAAAAATTTTTTAATAAAATAAACACCTTTATTTATTGTTTGGTAATTTTGTCTTTTTTTAACTCATCTCCAACTAACATAAGCAAATTCTTGCGTCTTACAGTGGAATGATTTCTACTGTCAAAAATGGGAAATTTAAAGTATTTTCTCGAGGTTTTTTCTTCACCTTTTTTGAAGTAAAATGTCCAAGGAATACGATAGCGAAATTCATTTTGCTATTAAATAAGATATAAGTGCTTTAAAATTCAGCTACAATTAACTTAAAAAAAATGTTTAAAATTTGAGCAACGTTTATATCAATAAAATAAACGTCAACAGTGAATATTTTCATTAAAATATGCATATAAATTTCACAATAATAACCTTTTAATATGCACAAGAAAATGTTCTTTCAATAAATTTTATTAATTATATTGTCACTTGCATATTTCCAAATTATTGAATCAACCCTTTACTTTTAGAAGGGCTATAAAATAAGCCCCACATTGCCCCGGAGCAATGAAAGTAATTTACATATTTTTTACACGTGTACTTTAATAGCAAAAACAATTAGCTGCTGCAGTTTGTTAAGTTGGCAAAAATATCAATTTGCGTAATTCATATCCAATTCAATATCCAATTCATTTTCATATTCAATTCATATCCAATTCATTTTCAAATATTCACAAAATGTTGCAGTTATTTTGGAATAACTAATTTTTAATTGTCTTAAGTAATTATAAGATAATAATTATACGTATTTTAAAATTATTTTCAATCGAGAAATATAAATAACGCCCTACTTTATCTGTTGTTTTGAATTTTTAAAAAAAATGTTTGTTTTTCTTCGAAATCAGCAGGTATATAAAACATATTTTTTACAATAGTTGTTATAGCTTCTTTTAGTGTATTATCGTAAGTTCCATTATAAAACATAAATTCGTAATCATCAACCGTAAAAACTATAAAAAACACTATCGTTATTATATTTTTTACACTTTCCTTTATTGGTGTTCTTTTTTAAAGTTAAATTTTAACCTTAAATTCGTAATTAATGAACTCGAAAACATTTAGAAACATTCACATCAATTCATTTGCATTTTTCATTGACATCTGCCATTTTAGATCCACCATTTTCTTCTTAAATTTTAACCAAAAATGTTTAATATGTCATTCAAAAACAAAAGGGTGATAAATTTCTAGTCAATTGAAGTTGATCATCTAATTTTGACGGCTATTCTGACATTCTATCCTACTGTGAGACTAACTCCAGGTAGTAACAGAAGTAACTCCATATTAAGAGGTAACTTAAGCAATCATTTTTTTGTCCTTAAGATGCATGTTTTTTAAAACATTACTACACGTAAAAATAGAGAGTTACTAAAGCAAGTAGGTCCAATCTTTACAAAAATTAGTTAAACTTTAATGTAAATTCTTCTAAGCAAGCTAATGTCTGAAATAAGTAAGTGAATTTAGTAACACCAAATGATTATTCCCCCCAAAAAATTAAATATTTTTCGTTAAATTGATTCTTATACAAATTTTTGCTTCAAAATTGCGGTTAGAAAAATTACCTAACACAGTCTATGTAATTTTTCTATATAGACTAACACAGTCTGACATGTTTGAATAGAAAAGTTCATCGTATTAAAAACATGTTTTTTTCTAATTAAGTTTAATCCAAATTTATTCTAATATTTTTGTCAAATTCTCTGTTAGTTACATGTAACATATAATCCTTTGGCAAAATTCTATAATTTAAAAATTCTTTTTTTCCAGGTAGTCGCTGTAGTATCTGTGTTTTTCATTTGTGTGTCCATAGTAACATTTTGCTTAAAGACTCATCCTAATATGCGGGTTCCGGTTATAGTGAACAGGACGATTCACCAGCCACCTAATGGTACTATACTTTGGACGTTGGATAAAACGAAAACAGAAGCACATGAAGCCTTTTATTATGTTGAAAGCGTTTGCAATGCCTGGTAATTTTTAATTTCTAAACTTTAGATTTATAGCTTCTTTTAAAGTAAGAAAAACTCCATAATAAACAGTATTAGTGTATATATATATACATTAATTGTTATTCATTTAGAAAAAAACAATTAAATTATTTACAAATAGGAAATAAATAAAATGTGCTGCCATCTGTTTATTAGAAAGAACACTGATTAAATTAGATATTAAATACTAAACTATCAAACAATTCCTGATTACATATCCTGATTACATTTTTTTCTGATTAATAAAATTTGACTAATTACTCATAATTGAATTTTTTTTTCACAAAGCACCATACTCGAAAACCGTCCTATCACAAGAATTAATTTTCATTGGTCTGTTCTAAAGAACAGAAAAACGGTAAGAACTAAGAAACAGAAAATAAATTTTCAGTACTGTCTAGTTTATAACGATTTACTTTCCGTTCTGCTTAATGCTTCAGAAGTTTTAAAATAAGAATATTTGAAACCAAATTGAAATGTCCCAAATAAACATTTCAGAAATAATTCTCATTCTATTAGAATGCTATGTTTGAAAAAATATCATAGAAATCTTTTTGTGAGATAAAAATGTTTCTAAGACATTTTATGCTGAGTGAAAACTGAATCCTTGCATATTTGTTTTATTCAAGTTTTATTTAAATACTGATAGAAACGTCTCCTCTTTTTCAGGTTTTCTTTTGAGATAGTTTGTAGGTTTTTAGTGAGCCCTAAGAAAATGGAATTCATGACAGCTCCCATCAACATCATTGATTTCATTGCCACCATGTCTTTCTACTCAGATATGCTCTTACAGAGACTTGCATCAGATCTCGAAAAAGCAGATATTTTAGATTTTTTCAGTATCATTCGAATTTTCAGGTAATTCATAGTTTTCATTACACTGTAAAAACTTCCAGATCAAATTACGATGAAATGTGCCGGAGTTCTGAGTGCCGTAACTTTTCACCGTGAAATCCATTTTTACCGGATCATGTTATGAAACGAAAATCCTGATTTTCCGTATTTTTATGGTAATAATTATCGCAGAATCAATGAATTTCTCTAATTAAATAAGTATTACTGTGAGCATTAAGGTATAATATTTTACGGTAAAAATGGGTTTTATTGTAAATTTGATTTTATGGATGATGAATTTAAAGTGCCACTATTTTATACCGTAATTTGGTTTGTATATAATAATTTTTGGACATAAAACTAATGATAGGCAATGAGTAGAAATATCAATAGCCTCTGCTTCTAAAGTAAACTAAACTCATTGGCGCGACAGCCCACAGAGGGTCCAAGGCCTACTGTGCCCATCTCAGTTTTCTTGACCTGGGGCTCTGGGGTGCTGGAACAATTGTTCCGGTTAGGTGGTCAGGAGAACGCGAAACCCCCAGTGTTTAGTTCCCAAGCATGCTTGGTACTCATTTATCGACCCACTGAATGGATGAAAGGCTGAGCCAAGGGTCGCCCGACCCGAGGATCGAACCCAGGACCTGTGGCACGGGAGCTTGAAGTGCTACCACTCAGCCAACGGGCGTCAGACTCTATTCCAGCAAGGAAAATATTTTTAAAACTCCATTAAAATTACAAATATATAAGATTTCTGTAATTAACTTTTATATAAGTTGATGCATAAATATTCTATCAATATAGCTGAATTATAATGAGGCATATGTTAAAAATGGTTGCTACACGACTATAAAATAATATTATACATTCTATACTTATTTCGTTGCTTTATTGAATTATGATTTATTATTTTTTAATCATAAGTGTTATATTTTTGAAACTATACTTTTCAAATCTATTAAAAACATTAGGTAATGCTTTCATTACTTCAAATTCATCAGATTTCTAATTGCTCCAGAAATATTCCTAAAAAGATTCAGATAAATGAATGATAAAATACTTTTGAAATAATGATGCAGCAGAATAATCACGTGGCATATTTGAGGTGTGCTTCAAATAAGTATAAATAGATTCTTGAAAAATCATATCAGAAAAATAGAGTTTCACAGTATTACCCTATTTGAGGAATAGATGTAAATAGAAGTTAATAACACCTTTTGTAATGTCTAATAAAAACTATGGTTTTAGTTTCTTAAATAGATTTAATTTTAGGATATTCCATATTCTTTCCATAAATATTAAAAAAAAGTTTTTTCAGACGTTATTTTAGATTTAATATTTTAAATCAGTAGTCTGAAGTAGCGTACTGCGAGTAACGAAACTACTGTAATGACTATACTTTTTCGTAGTTTATAGTGTAGTGTAGTGCAGTTTTTTTTAAAGTACTGTAGTAAGTAGTATAATACAAAATAAACAGTTTGAGTCTATCTCTGGTAACTACTTTTAGTGTTTGTTTAATAAGGATTCAAAATTCAAATGCTACGATTTTTTTTATCTAGTTGGTACAAATTTTCGCGAATCCGTCAATTGAGGCAATTAGAATGCTCCATTATGCTAATAAGAATGGCTCATTTCTAAGATTTAAACTAGCCATTACAAATAATTGGCAATTTATCACTTTGGCCACACTTACAAATGCAAATGTATGTACACTCACATTGATGCTATTTCAATGGAAGGGGGTCATATTCAATGGCTTTAATTTTCAATGTACATTATTTCCAAGAGAAATAAAAGAGCAATTAACATATTCGCAAATATTTGGCAATTTCTATAACATTTCTTAAATTATATTTGTTGTTGAGATAAGTATAAAAATATGACTGTTGAAAGAACAAATTTTTAAAAAAAATGGTTCAGAATAACAAACTGGCTCGTGTAAACATAAATATTTCCTAATAATTACTCATAAAATAATTACTCGTAAAAATATTTCCAAATAATTACTCATGTTAAAATAAGTCTAATTTTATTAGAGACCATTTTGACCCGGGCGTAACTTAAGTTCTCCTGTGCAGTTCGTTTTCTAAAAGTAATGAAGTAGTAACTACATTTCGAAAGTAGTTTGTCGTCAATAATTAAAGAAAAAATGTTTGTTTTAGTTTACTTCTGTTTTATTAAAGTAGTTCTAGATAACCTAAAGAATAATGGTATAATTATACAAATTTATTATATAAGTAATGTAAGTTATATACTAATTATACAAGATTTAGGTATAATTATACAAATTTATGAAATTGATGAAGACAACATTAATTACATAAATAAGAAAATTTTGAGATAAATCTGAGGTTTTTTGTAATAAATCAGACCTGATTGACACTAAATAACAAATGTTAATAACAAACTAATAACAAACATGTTAATAACACTAAATAACAAACTAAATAACATTTGACACTAAGTGACAAATAAATAAAACCCTATTTAAATATTTTGTTGTTGGTTTTTCTTATGCCACCAGCCAATACCAACAAGCCTGCAATGAGAAACCAAGCAAATTTAAGGTAGAGGTATACGTTTCTTGCTTTTCAGTGGTGCCATCTATGATCAAGAATATGATTTCAGCCACACACACGTCATAGCCCATATTACAGGGAAGACCCATTCATACTCCATTCATTCAAACATGATCGTAATTTTGGCATGACCAGAGAATAATCTATCCCCATTCAGTACCCCCATGGATACTGAATTGGAGATTGATCTGTTAAGGGAACTCATTGTTATCATGGGATAAATTTGTTATGGGAACTTGAAGGATTTTTAAGATTTAACGAACCTCCAACAGATTTAACTGGCTCCAGTCACCATTTAAACACGAGAATTGTTCGGTCGGCGTGATTTGAACTCACGATTCCGAGCCCAACATCCAAACTACCTTGACCATACATTTTCTTTCTCTAATGACGTAGAAAATATTCAGCCTTAACTCAAAACAGCATACGTAAGTTATTCAGAAAGTATTAAAACCAGATCACATATAAGCCCTAAATACAAAAGTGGTATTGATGAAACACAATGGATATGCTCATATATTTGATAGGAACCAAATACTTTCCACGTGGCTAACAAGTCCTCATTTGGAGCAAAAACTTCTTCAGAAATTCCAAACCTCGCCATGGCTCTTTTAAAAGCGTTTAAGAATAATGATAGGAGAATGATGAGACTGCACAAGGAAAAGAAAAAGAACAAACATAACCAGCAAATGCTTTTTAGCTTTATCCACCGTGAAATGGGAAGCAAGAGAAATTTCTCAACTACGTGACCTGTTAACACAAGGGAAAAAATATTTAGCGACTAACTTTATCTTATGTCAAGCTAAAATCGATCTTAACTTCCTTTTTTCTTATGTTTTTGGTACTCGAGAATCTTAAATTTGCACATTGTTTTGAATGTATAAATACATAATACCTACAATGAAAATGCATTGACCCATAAAACTATCTGCAAATGTTTCTTTATTAGTTTCATTGACAAAATGTTATCTTCTGATGATTTACTGGTTCTATTAATCTAATTATAATTACATTTATCTGTTCTAATGCTAGTTATTGTTACAATAAAATTACATATTTAAAATAATATTTACTGTTTCTTTAATAATTTCATTTTCAGTAGGCATTGCATTTTTGTTTTATTAGATTCAGGTTTTTAATGTTACTTACTTTTTTTTAAAATTCGTTGCAAGTCAAATAAATTTTCGTATAATATGATATTTTAAAAATTAATTGCCTCTTTTATTTGCTACGATTTATTTGTCAGTTACAGAGAAAGTTTTGTAAATGTAGAACATACCAAATTTCGTGTTCATAACAGCTAGAACTAATTGAAAAACTTTCTTAGAAAAAGAAATGAAAGAAAGGATAGGAAAAAGAAAGTGTTTTTAGTTTTCTTCTATTAAGTTGATATCTATTTTCTCGTAAATGCGTTATATTTCACCAATTTAGATTAAATCAAGAGAAATAGAATTTATATTTTTTTTACAAAACAACGTAAAAAACAATATTTATAAAAATATTTCGTTGAAAAATGTTTAAACAGAAAATACACTTACATTATACATAGAAAACATGTCGTTGGCTCCTTTTTATTAAAAGGCAATAAATTAAAGAGTTAATAATTACTTTTTCACAATGCAAGTCCTACACGAATGCTATTGATTAGTCCTTGATCAGTAGAAAATTTAAACACTTTAAAAATATTTATATCATTACTAAAAGAAATAACAAATAATAGATATTTCTCAGAGACTTTATTGTTAAAAGTCCACGTTTATAATTTAATTAATAAACGAAACTAACAAAATTCTATTCGCAAATACAATAATATTAACTATTTACATACTGTTAAACGCTTAATTGAATTTATAGAAAATTGAAAAAGTTATTAAGTGTGCAAATATGAATAAATTCGTTTTGAGAAATTCCAGTTAAGAATTGCTCAGACATTGATTGTTCTTCAGACATTTTAAAGTAAAAGTGCTGCAATTTTTCTATTTTCCGAGTTTCAATATATACTTTAAAACCATTGCTCTTGAAAATTACTAGCGTCAAACTATGTTAAGAAGAAAAATTGTTTTTCAAAAGTTTAAAGCGCAATGTTTGGTTTGCAATATTGTACAAACACAAAATGCAAATTGAATGCGATCGTGCAAATGATTTCAAAATTTTTAAAATTGGAATTGCTTTGGTCTTGCTGTCCGCTTTAACAAAGTAGAGAGCAATTTAATGTATCAAAAATTGTCCCTAGGCGTCTGAAAATAAACGGCTATTTACATATCAATTAATGTAAAAAGGAAGATGATGGCTAAGGCTACGTTATATTGAGGGAAACAGATTTTCATTCCAGCATAGTTATAAAATTATAAAAATTTGGTAGATGGTTCTGATGACACTGCATTTCAAACCATTCTAACTAAAATATATAAATTGGTGTCAGTTAATTCTGTCCTTAGACTGGGC